CTGCATTTTGTTTATCCTCTATAGCATCCAGGACCTTGTCATAGTGGTCCAGTAGCTGGGATAGACAGGAGCGACCTGCTCTAAACCCGTGTTGCCCTGGGTTGTGTAAGTGATGGGTATCTAGGTGGTTGGCAATCTTGCTTCTTAGAACCCTTTCAAAGATATTTATGATATGGGATGTCAGTGCTATCGGACTGTAGTTGTTTGCAACTGCTTTACTGCCACCTTTGTAAAGTGGGGCTATGTCTGTCGTTTTTAGCGAGTGTGAGATGACCCCTGTATCTATGCTCTCTCTCTATAGAATGTTGAAGGCACGTGGCAGAGGCTTCTTGCAGTTCTTGATGAACACGGAGTTCCATGGTCGGATACTGCATAAAAAGATGAGTCATATCAGAAAACATTTCAAAATAAGCAGTACAGCAACTGAGGAATGGCAGGTAATGAAACTTGATCCAAGGGAGAGAAAGGTAGTCAAATTCTTTTGATCAAGAGCTCTTCACCAGCATCAAGGGAAGGGAAACGTAATCATCATTATATATGACAGAGCTATTTCAAACAAGTCAATCGAAGGCTTAAAGACAAAACGAAGAGCTAGCTAAAGGTATTCCCACCTCATTTCCCAACCTGCCGAGGTACACAACACGTTCAATAAAAAAAAAATAGGAAATTACACACACGCCACCCTGGTCAACAGACACGGCTGGCCTCAGCTTAAAGCAGGAAATAAATCTTCCCTGTTCATAGTGAAGGGAAAAGAACAATACATGTTAGTGGTGTCCCAGAAAATATAAAAAAAATGATAAAGCTGTGAAACTGAGTGTGTGTGTGTGTGTGTGTGTGTGTGTGTGTGTGTGTGTGTGTGTGTGTGTGTGTGTGTGTGTGTGTGTGTGTGTGTGTGTGTGTGTGTGTGTGTGTTTTGAGAGAGAGAGAGAGAGAGAGATCTGTCATTTCAGCAGAGCCTTCAACACAGGAGGGATGTGGGTGGCCTTACTGTTATGTACAAGGGCAATATTGTCAAAGTACCACACTTGGATCCACTTCGAGGACAGCGTGAAGCAAGCTTCTATACCACAAGACGGGCAGAAAGCAGCAACTCCTTCACCAGAACATCACTTCATCTGGGATCATTTATCCCCAGGATGACTCGAGTATGGAACACATTCGTACAGCATTACACAAATAACCCGCACATAAAAGAGAGAAGCTTACGACGACGTTTCGGTCCGACTTGGACCATTGACAAAGTCACACTAACCAGAGGTGGAGCAGGATGGCTATATATAGGCAGGAAGAGGTGGTGGTTGTAGTAGTAGTACAAGAGTTGTATATAATACCGACAAGATGAAATTAAGACACATGCACAACACCCGGGCATCCCCACCATAGACGTTTCGCCATCCAGCCAGCCACTGGATGGCGAAACGTCCACAACAAAGACAACCAGACGCCGCACATGTGTCTTAATTTCATCAGTAGTTGTAGTAGTAGTAGAACTTTCCTTGTATGAACCTTAGCCCTGGCTTCGTCTCTGTAGATGCCTTCCTCTCCCACTACATTGTAAAATGTTCCAAACTTCAGAACACCCGTGACTTAACCTGAATCCTCATTTTTTCTTTTTCTTTTTCTTCTTCTTCCTCTTCCTCTTCCCCTTTCCTCTTTCCTTTTCTCCTCTGGGTTGTCTTTCTCTCTCCTGTCTCGTGTTTCTGTTCCTTCTTCATTTATTTCACCACTTCCCCTTTCACGCACCTCTGTGCGCTTGCTCTCCCTCTGTGGGCATCTAGCTCTCTTGCAGTGCTCCCCTTCCTATGTATTTGACTGGCTCGTCCTCCTTATTTCCCACTTCTACCACTACCACTACTACTACCTCTTCTTCTTCTACTACTACTACAACTACTGATGAAATTAAGACACATGTGCGGCGTCTGGTTGTCTTTGTTGTGGACGTTTCGCCATCCAGTGGCTGGCTGGATAGCGAAACGTCTATGATGGGGATGCCCGGGTGTTGTGCATGTGTCTTAATTTCATCTTGTCGGTATTATATACAACTCTTGTACTACTACTACTACCACCACCTCTTCCTGCCTATATATAGCCATCCTGCTCCACCTCTGGTTAGTGTGACTTTGTCAATGGTCCAAGTTGGACCGAAACGTCGTCGTAAGCTTCTCTCTTTTATGTGCGGGTTATTTGTGTATCGTTCCAGTCACGGTATTGTGCCTTTTTTGTTATTTATGTACAACATTATGATGTCAACGAGATAAAGTCAGTTGATCAGATGAAAATACTGGCCCACAGATGGCTCCAACTTCATCGTGTTCCCGACTTGTATGTCTCATAACAATAAAAATGCTTTCCAATGAGCTAATGTAGGTAACAGCTCTTAGCTTGTCAATAAAGTTAGGACTCCTTAACCTGTAAATAGTTTGTCAATAAAGCTAGGGATCCTTAACCTAACCTTGTCAAACCCCGTGAAAGAGAGAGAGACAGAGAGAGAGAGAGAGAGAGAGAGACAGAGAGAGAGAGAGAGAGAGAGAGAGACAGAGACAGAGAGAGAGGGGGGGGGTCTAATAGGTGTAGATGTGTACTAGTGATGAGGGTGCGTACTATTGACTCTTGGGTAAGTACTAGCGACGTGCGGGTTGTGTACTAGTGAAGCGGGGAGTGTCTACCTGGAGGATGTTCTGGGGGAGGTCAACGCCCCCGCGGCCCAGACTTTGACCAGACCTCCCCGTGGATCAGGGACTGATCAACCAGGCTGTTACTGCTGGCGGCACGAAGTCCAACGTATGAACCACAGCCCGGCTGATGGAGTACTGACTTTAGGTATCTGTCCAGCGCTCTCCTGAAGGCAGCCAGGGATCTATTGGTAATTTCCTTTATGCTTGGTGGGAGGCTGTTGAAAATTCTTGGGCCCAGGTCTCTTAGTGTACTTACGGAGCCCCTATTTTTCATTGGGGGTATGCTGCACCGTCTGACCAGTTTTTGCTTTCGTAGGGAGTGATTTCTGTGTGCAGATTTGGGACCAGTCCCTCTAGGATTTTCCAGGTGTACATTATGATTGACGTATCTCTCTCCACTGCGCTTCAGTGAGTACAGGTCGATTCCAAGCATTCCCAGTAATTAAGGTGTTTAACGGAAGTTATATGTGTAGTTAAGGTTCTCTGTACATTCTCTTAGATTTGCGATTTCACCTGCCTTGAATGGAGCTGTTAGTATACAGCAGCATTCCTGCTTAGAGAGACCAAGTGATTTAATTAAAAAGGATCATCACTGGCTTGGAATCCTTTGTTTCGAAGATTTTATTATCCATTCTATCATTTTTTCTCGAGGCACTGTTGTGATCCTTGCAGATTAGATCCTCTTACATTAACACGCCCAAGTCCTTCACACTATTCCGCTCTATTGTGTGGTCAGTTTGTAGTATACTCAGTTCTAGCTATTATTTTCTCCAGTTTTCCATAACGGAGTAGTTGAATTTGTTACTGAACATCATATTGCTTTCCGCTGCCTATTGGAAAACTTGGTTTATATCTACTTGGAGATTTACAGTATCCTCAATGGATAACAGTTTCATGTAGATTCTTGTATCATCTGCGAAGGATGATACGGTGCGATGGTTTACATCTCAATGTCTTGATATGAGGATGAGGAATAGGATGGGGGAAGAGTACTGTGCCTTGTGGAACAGAGCTTTAAACTGGCAGCCTCCGACTTAATTCTGTTTAGCACTACTGTGTTCGATTGGTTAGAAAGTTGAAGATCCATCAGCTCATTTTGCCAGTTACCCCTTTAGCATGCATTTTGTCCGCGATACGATGATTGCACTTGTCAAAGGCTTTTGCAAAATCTGTCCACTGTCTTCTTGTGCATCCAAGCCGATATCACTGCGATCCAGTAGTTGCAAGAGGCAGAATCGACCTGCTTTAAACCCATGCTGCCCTGGATTGTGCAAATGTTGCGAATCAAAGTGATTTGCGATCATGCTTCTTAGAACTCTTTCAAAAAATTTTATAATGTGGGACGTTAGAGATATTGATTTATAATTTTATAGTTCTTAGCTAATGGTTTGCTGCCATCTTTATGGAGTGGGGCTATATCCGTTGTTTTTAGCGACTGGGATTACGCCGTGTCTATGCTCCCTCTGGGCCTGGGGCTGAGTGCATGGGCATGCTGTCATTGGCTTTTTTAAAGTCCAGTGGAGTTAGTGTTACGTCAGAAATTTGGAATACGCTGACAGGGTTTTGAGGCTTATCCATGAAAAAAAATAATTTGGATTGTCGATCTTTAGACTGATTAACGGCTTGCTCAACACAAGAGTTGTACTGACACTTTGGTATTTCACCCATTTCTTAATCATCTGTGCAAGTTCCATCTTGTCTAAGGGGTTGTGTACTAGTAACGTGGGGGTTGTGTACGTGTACTATAATCCTAGTTATGTGTGGGGGCTATGAAAATCCGCTTTTGAAAAATCTCCCATATTTTTTTTTTTTTACAAACAACGATGCTATTTATACCCGGTACAAAGTGGTTTGTGTATTTTTTTTTTTTTTTGGGGGGGGGGGGGGTATATAAAAAATAATGTAATCAATTTGGGACATGCAGCACATCCTGGTCAATCAACATTTAGTACTGGCGCTCCTGACCAATCACAGCATAGGAAAAAAAATGTAAAGGCGCATCATTCTCATAACTACCGGTAGAAGAGTAAGGTTAAATTATATTAGGTTATATTTTTGATAGGGTTTCGTTAGGTTTGGTTACGTTTCATACATGTACATAATACAATGTCCATGACAAAATCAACATAATACCGGACATGGGAATAAATTATGGAAAAGCTTTAAGAGCACAAAATCCCCATAATAGTCTGTGTGGGTGTGCAATAGTTATGCGAGGGTTGTGCACTAGGTATGTGGAGGCAAATGTTGTGTGGGTGCGAGATGTAAGTCAGTTTAAAGCTAGAAACTGGTAGTTAACCTGGTACCCCTAGTGGGTCGTACCTGGCTTCTCAGCAGGTCGCTGTTCCCCTTGTAGGTCAGGCCTCCAGCCGTCTAGGACACCGAACTGGCCATCTTTACGAGAGTCCCACAGGCGTCCGTCATAGCCCGGACGCTCACGACCTCTGGCGTCGTAGCGTCTGTTACCGAGGCGTCCGTCGACATTACCCTCGCCGTAACGGAAAGTAGGCTCCTGGTACTTGTTATCGAAGCCACGGAGTCTCGTAGGGTCGTCGTAGTGGGTGTCGTAACGGCGGTCAGTTCCGTAATACGTGTCACCACTGTTATACTGGGAACGGACAGAGGGTTGGGTGGAGTAGGCAGGGCGCTGGTCACGTCGAGAGTTGTAATAATAATAGTCTTCTCGGTCGTTACGGAACTGACATTCTGTAACTGTCACTACACACAACACCAACACACTCTCCACTACCCTGACAAGTGATATTACAGGTTTTCTGGGGCTGCGTCGAGCTGCCATGTTTCCCGTCACCGGCCCGCTGGACATAACCTCACCTCACACATGGTCAACCACACACTGGCGTCCCAAGATCCATGGTTAATGTGGATGTTTAAAAGCAAGAGGCTGTGTGCGTATGTGTGCATGCTGACTTGCTTGCTTTTTATGTTCACTTTGTACACATCGTTGGAGTCTCAGCCATAACATCTCTGATGATAAATACTAATGATATTTTTAATATACAGGCCTATGTTGAACTGTATTAGCATTACTGATATATCGTTAACATGGACTTAAAAACGATAATAAACTTAAAAATAAGAACATGTTCAATAATTCCGTACCTGCCCGATAGAGGCAGCACTCTGCAGGTAAATAACACAATAATAACATTCCCGATATTCCATAAGATTATTTTTTACCGTGGCATTCAGAAATACATGTATGCAAAATATTTAAAAGACTGGCTTTGTGACACCATCAATTAATTATAACAAATTATGAAAAAAAATCACCTATCATAATAGCAAGTTTGTAACTTGTGATAAGCAAGACGTAGTAACCGTCATGGTACGCTGCCAAACCTTTGTCTAAGTCTAACTCAAAATAAAAAATCATCTGCTTTAGAGATGGAATGCCAGCTAATATTCTTTACATGAACTTATACTGTGCTCTCTAATGCAAAATTTGATGTCGCTGCTTTAATTTTGTGGCAAAGTGACAACCCTGAGTAGAGTAAATCACTTAATAAAACTTCGAAATTTGAAATATTCTACAGATATTAGCATTAATATAATTAATACGCACACAAAGTCATTTATATTGTTAATCAAAGGAAGCGCTAAGCTCGTAGGGTTATACAATACATTAATGGAAGCCAGACTGAGTGGTTTTCTTGGGTTATCTATGGTTGCTAACCTCAGGGTTCGTAATGCGAATAAAATATTCTACCTGGGGAATGGGAGGTAACAAAGTTTAACCCAAAAAAAGGGGGACAGGGTGAAGGACAGCCTCATGTGCAAAAAAAAAAAAATATATATATATATGTAATCCATTATGTCATACTACAGTGCCACGTTGAAATCACTTGTTAAATTGCTTGTCTATCATGCTCATTACTCTATAATTTGTTCATAATTGTAGCCATGTATAAACGTAAGTAACCATTCTACAGAATTCATTACCTTTGTAACTTGTGAGCTCATTACCTTTGTACCTAGTTCAGCTATCAAAACTTTGGGGGCCCAGTCCCTGGACCCATTACGTACCTCTGTAATCTGTAAATACCTTTGTAACTTGTCATGATTGTGACCAGACCTACCTGGAGTTCATTACCTTTGTAAATTGTGAGTTCATTACCTTTGTAAATTGTGAGTTCATTACCTTTGTAAATTGTGAGTTCATTACCTCTGTAACTTGCTCAGCTATCAAAACTTTGGAGTCCAGTCCCTGGACCAATTATGTACCTCTGTAATCTTTTGACTACCACCCACAGGATGGGTATGGGGTGCATAATAAACATATTAAACTAACTATCATGCCTATAGAGTTCTCACTTACGTACAGTTTTACATGGTCACTTTCTCATGTATATTTTCAATACCCACAGTCTTGTACAAGAATGGTATACAATACCGACAAGATGAAATTGAGACACATGTGCAACATCTGGGTATCTTTATTGTAGACGTTTCGCCATCCATTGGCTTTATCAATACAAATTCCAGGACATAACTTGAAGACAGGAGAACTATGTACAGAAGATGAGGTAATCAGTCCCTCAACCTAGCAGTAGGTGCGAAGAGCACCGTAGTCGTGGAGATTCAGAATCTCCAAGTCTACGGTGCTCTTCGCACCTACTGCTAGGTTGAGGGACTGATTACCTCATCTTCTGTACATAGTTCTCCTGTCTTCAAGTTATGTCCTGGAATTTGTATTGATAAAGCCAATGGATGGCGAAACGTCTACAATAAAGATACCCAGATGTTGCACGTGTCTCAATTTCACCCACAGTCTTACATATGCACATTCTCTCATTCTCACATTCTACATTATCTACATTGACACATTCTGCTTTATGCACATTCTCACATAAAGATAAGATTTGTTGGTATTTTTACCCCTGGGAAGAATTAGCCACCCAGGATAACCCTAGAAAGTCGGTACGACATCGAGGACTGTCTTTTTCACTGGGGTCCTTTAATTTTGTTCCCCTGGATGCGACCCACACCAGTCGATTAACACCCTGGTACCTATTTACTGCTAGGTGAACAGGGACAGCAGATGTCAAGAAACATGTTCAACGTTTCCACCTGTGCCGGGAACTGAACTACGGACACAGTATTCGAAGCCAACGCGTTGTCAACCGAGCCACGCGACTGCTATCATACAGTAATAAACACAGGTAAGTGTAGGACTACCATATCCGAATTTTCAAAATAGGTGTCGGGGTATGTCTACCAACTCACGCTGTATTAATGTTAAATATGTACTGGTATATCTTGTGCTTTGCCTTCCTTTGTAGGAGTTTGTAGTCACCAGAACTTACACCGTATTAATTCCTGCTTCCTAGTTTCTGGAGAAAGGAATAGTGCTCAAAGCTGGGTGGAAATTGGGAAAGGGACGGTTCCCTTTGAAAACAGAAATGTGAATCCAAAAAGATCCCAATTAGGTCATGTGGCCCCCCACCCCTAAACTACGACAAATCCAGATGCCCAAAATTCACCAAAATTCAGTTACATTATGTATAGGCATAATAAACAATATGGAGATCGGGTCCTTTTTAAGAAATCACGCAGATTTTTTATTTAAAAAAAACCATGCTGTCTATACCTTGACACAAATTGTTATTTCTTGTGCAAATTATTTTGAATGACATTAGCAAAAAAAAAAAAGAATGTAGCAACGTAAAAATGAATTCAACGCAAAAGCGCGCCAGTCACGTATCTGCCTCTGGCGGAGCAAGATTAAGTTTCATTACGTTATTTTAGGTTGGGTTAGGTTATATTCCTTATATGTGCACGTCATAAAACAATGACCATGACAAAACCAACCTAATATTGGACATTTTAGTAATACATCATAACCAAACTCACACAAGGACCAGATCTCCATAATTACCTTAATATTTCACAAATCTTAGCATTTCGAGAAATAATAATGACCCCAATGGAAAAAAAGTCATATCGCTTGCTCTTGGTTATCAGAGGTTAAATTCTACATAAAACGATTCTTAATTAAAGCTTCTAGATTTGTGTCAAGTCCCAACTCCCCCCCAAAAATTTGCTTACTGAGTCAGCAACCAGCTTGATCCAGCTTGTAGAGATCAGCTGAAGGAAATTAATTCACTTCTGACTTTTCTTGGGTTATCCTGGGTAATTTATACACGTTATTATATATTATCATTGTAATCACCTAAATTTGTGTAACTGTACTTATGTTTACCTGTACTTACTGAGCCTCAGACTTATTTCCCAGGACTGTTTATAACCAGTCAAAACTGAGGACAATTATATTACCAATCAAAAATAAGCGTTAAGCCCACAAGGGTCATGCAACGTTGATTTGTGAGAACAAGAATACAAAAGAATGGAGCAATTGCTCACCAATACTGAGATCAGCGAGGCAGCATCTGCACTACCCCATGACCAGCAGCTCATGTCTCTACTGTGTATTCCTGGAGGGTGTCTGGGGGTCAACGCCTCCGCGACTTGGTCCTTGACCAAGCTTCTCGGTGGATCAGGGTCTGATCAACCAGGCTGTTACTGCTGTCCGCACGTAAACCGACGTACGAACCACAGCCTGGCCTGTCCAGTGCCTTCATGAAGACAGTCAGGGGTCTATGGTAGTCCCACCCTCAAGGGAGGTTCCTTGACGCTAGTGAAGGGCTCTTAATCAAGGGAATTGGATCTTTGCTCCAGTTCCCTGAATTGACTCTGAATGCCTTCCATCCCCCACAGGCGCTGCTTAATCCTATTGGTTTAGCGCTTCCCCATGATTATAATAATATGGTAATCCCCCTTATGTATGCTGGGAGGCAGTTGAACAATCTTGGGCCCCTGGCAATTACTGTGTCGTCTCTCAGTATACATAAGGGAGATTAACAATAGACCCCTGGCTGTCTTCAAGAAGGAACTGGATAGGCACTACAGATCACTTACATAAAAAAAAACTGCACTAGGAATCCGGAAAGCCTACCCAGTGGTCACGAATGTAAACAACTTACTGAATCCAGATATTATTATTAAATGGAATGAAAAACGCTTGGAGATAATCAAGTTTAATCCAAGGAAAAGGAGATTCTTTAATTCCTTAATGTGAATTAAAGTACTAAGACATTATTATTAATTATCATGCTTTATCTTTTCTATCATTACTTACTGTTTTATCTTTATTACTTATTATTACCATGCTTTATTTTTATTAGTATTATTATTACTTATTATTATTATGCTTCATGCAGCGCTGTATATTATTATTATTATAATCAAGGGGAAGCGCTAAACCCGGAGGATTATACAGCGCCTGGGGGGGGGGGATGTGGAAGGCATTCAGGCTTAATTCGGGGAACTGGAGCACAGATCCAATTCCCTAAATCAAGAGCCCCTCACCAACATCAAGGAACCTTCCTTGAGGGGCAGCGCTGTATAGCCCTTGTGGTTTAGCGCTTCTTTTTTTATTATAATAATATTATGCTTCATCTTTATTATTATTAATACCTGTTATTATCATGCTTTATTTTTATGATTTATCATGCTTTATCTTTATTACGTATTATTATCATCATCATGCTTGATCTTTATTATTATTATTATTATTATTATCATAAAAAAGCTGCATCGGTGTCATACAGCTCTGGGGAATGGAATGCAATCAGATTTGATCCAAGGAATGGGAGGGCAGCTTCTCACTGGCCTTCTCTCTCTCTCTCTCTCTTTTGCTGCAGAAATTCTCTTTGATTTCCTGATGCTTCTTCAGCCCTTGATGCTAGTGAAGGAATCCTAGCAAACCTCCCATTCCTCAGTTCAAGCCTGATGGCCTATAACCCCAGATGCTGTAATATAATA